AGTAGAATTGATTAAAAAACAGAAATTAAACAACATAATACAATTTTGCTAAAATGATTATTCCTGTACGATGCTTCTCTTGTGGTAAAGTCATCGGAAATAAATGGGAAACATATCAAACCATGCTTGAGAGTGATTATAACGAAGGGTAATTGCAAGCTCCATTGCTTCCTTCTAGACTTGTTTTCGGTGTATTATTACTAACTTTTTAACTAAGAGCTGCGATGGACGCGATCGGACTTCGGAGGTATTGCTGTCGACGTATGGTCTTAACCCATACAGATTTGATCACAAAATTACTTCAATATAACCGTAAGTGCTTAATTTTTAAATTGTTTAATTTATATTGTTTACTGGCATCTTTAAGAGAGTATTAAAAAATAATAGCTCAAGAGAGAAGTCGTGAGCAATTCAGAGCTCAATTTCGTCAACAGCCTGGAGGTCCTTTACCAACTAAAGGAGCTGGTTCAAGATCGCCTGCAAGGACTGGTTAAAAAATATAATGAACAATATGAGAGCATGATAGAATGGATAAACCAAAAAATATTAAGATAGCATTGAACAATATTGTTGCATTGATTTCGATAATGCGCAAATAAAGAATATATTACATCAGTTTCATTCCAACTAAATATGAATCATTAAAAATGACTTCGATTTTATCGTACTGCACTCCTTTAATAACCTTTTATAAATAATTCCTGGTATAAACAAGTAGTATTTATAATTGATCTAAATTTATCAACACCGATATTTAAATTTTACTGATTGCTGAATTATACATCCTTAGTTGAATCGACTATGACTTGGTTGACTAAGTCGATTGTTGTCGGTTAACACCAAATTAGTTACAATCGCTAATTATAATACCAGGATGTTTATGAGTATATGAATAAAATAAATGTGATTATAACTGATATATATTGATCTCATAATACCCTTCTGTTTTTATACTCAGTTGAATACCCGAGTGTTAAAGGTAGCACATTTTCTTACAATAATAACATCAATTATTTTAGCCAATTGATCAATAATTTAATAGATTTCCTTGTTATCAATTCTTGGTGCATTAAATTTCTTTAAGCGAATCGAGTATTATCTGCATATAACATGATTGAATCTAGTTTCAGATTGAATCAACAATTTTTTTTTTATGGATAATAATTTCCAATATTTATTTATTAACTTTTGGACCATTTTGAATCAGAATTGCTCATGTTTTCAATCTTTTCTATCCTTAAACTAGTTTCAATTATTTCTGCATCTGAAATTTCACGTAAAAGTGTATTACATTCATTCAACTCTTGAACCTCTTCTTTAACATTGATACAAAGTTTTTGCATCGAACTAGCAACATCATGGATCTTTAAAATAGAATTAAAACCTTTCAGTATATATTAATCTAACATGTTAAAATATGACTTTAATAGATGAATTCCTTACCAGTGATGATTCTTCCCATTTTTTCAATAGGTTAGTAGTAGTATTAGAACAGATCTCGATTTCTTCTGATAATTGACCTGAAAAAAAAATTGTAAAAATGTAAAATAAGCATATAAAAAAACAATACCGAAAAAAATAAATAAATACCTAATTTTTCTGTCAATATATTAGAGATTGGCATTGCGGATGTGGTACTTGTCAAAGATGATGCAAATGTAACATAACGTGTTTTGAAATGTTCTAAATGTTTGCTGATTTGTAAAATCAAATTCGCCTATTGCCGTTGTAAAGATAATTTTTATTTAGATTGTTTTTTTTTTTTTTTTTATGAAAAGTATTAAATTTTCAAGTCACCTGAAAAGACAAAGTTGTATCAAGCCTTGAAATATCATCTTCCAGAGAGAATTTTCTTAAGGCATTTGACAATTCATCTTGTTTCTTGACAAGTAATTTCCATGCATCCAATAATTGAGTCTAAATAATTAAATTACCATATTAATAAATTTATTATGTATGTTCGTGTACTATTTATACTATTTATGAATATTACCTCGGCAGATCGTTTTTGACAATCAAACGCGTGGTCAGCTTTAGCATTCAAGAAATACCATTGTGTTAATCTGGCATTCAACATTGTTAATTCATCATCTAAGCTAATTGATGGTTGTTGGCTGACATGAGTTACATTCGTTTGTCCGAGTTTCTAATAAATAATTAATAAATCAGATATGCATAATCATGCAAATATACACATAAGATAAAACTTACTTCATGTACTTCAGCTTTAAGTCGTTGAAGATTTAGGTTTGTTCTACTGATTACGGAGCCGCCAGATCTAATATTATGCTTATTAATTCCAGTAGCAGTTGGTTTTTTACTTATTGTTGGTTTAAGAAGATGGTGCTGCATAAAGCGTGATTCAACTGAACGATCTAGATAATAGTAATATTATTATTATTATTATTATTAAGTATCAAGTTGTAATGCCTTAAATAGTCCTACATTTTTTCTTCTTTTTTTTTCGTGGACCTTCATTCGCAGAAGCAGTGGTCGATACGGAAAGTGCTGGGGAGGGGCATCTTTCAGAAATCAACTTTTCGTCTTTGTCGGCACATTCAACAGATTTTGGCGTAGACATTCTTCCGAAATTTGACGCGTTTTTTAACAACTCTAAAATCGCCAGTCTAAAAAATGTCACTACCCAATTAAAATGCGAGAGCAGGTGTAACGTGAAAAAACCCTCTTCTCAAAATATCACATGAGCACGTGACAGGGTTTAATTTATAATAA